CGATCCCGTTACCGGTCACGAAAAAAAACAAAAAGGAAAAAAAAAAAAAAAATATATATATATATATATATATATTACATATATATATATGCATATATGCATTTAAACAAATTCTTTAATAAGCACACTTGCTATAATACTTACAGCATTAAACATTTCAAAGATTTCTAATCACAGAAATTTTTTAGTGTTAAAATAAGATATTTGGCATAAGAAACTTTGATGTATGTCCTGCTGAGTGTAAACAAACACTGTAGAAGTTGCTTCATTTTAAACAAGGGTTTGGAAAAATCTAAATATTTTTTGATAAAATGTTTACTGCTAGGAAAAATGGTTGAATAGAATGACAAAGTAGTATGAAAAAGTTTTCTTTACATTATGTCTAAATAAAAACAAACAAGTATTGATACAGCATGCAACTCTTTCCTAATTAAGAAATTAACTTCATAAAAGTATAGCAAGCTTTAATAACAAAGGAAGAATAAGAACATTTATTAAGCATCTAAATGTGTCAGTCGCTTACTATGCACATTTTTTCTTCACAAAATAATAATAAAAACGATTTTGATGATGATTACCCCACTTCCTACTTCCTAGTCATTCCAGGATGTTAAAAGCAAAATGAGAAGCAGACATTGTTCTCTGTCCACAATGTCCTCTCCTAAACTTTCACATGGCTGGCTCCTCATCCTTTAGTTGGCAGCTTAAACATCACACTCAGAAGGATCTTCTCTGACCACAGATTCCCACTCCCTCTCCTGTCTCCATCCTAAATACAAACTCCGCAATATTCTCTAACCTAGCATTCTCTGTTTTCTTTAGATGAAGCACTTACAGTGACTTGTGTTTGTTGTTTACTTGTTTCTCTGTTCCAGCCACAACAGCATAAGTCCTCATTTTGTATATTCAGTACCTAACTGTCTAGCACATAGCTGGTGTTTAATAACAAATTTACTCAAGGTCAAAGCATTTAAAATCTCATCAGGAAGACCTTAAGTGCCAAATTACAGTATTACTAAAGGATATTTCCAGTGATAGTCTACTGGAACTTAATATATCCCAAATTACAAATCCACATGCCCATTCTAACTTACCCTTCTTTTCCTGATACTACTGGCATTTCATTGTCCTTCAAAAAAAGTATCCTCAATATTTACTAAACCTGGTCTCCAGCCCCATGCCCGCAGCCCTCCCAGCTCTTCAGAGCCAGGAATAGGACCTGCCTTGTCTCTGCTGCTCTCTAGCACGGACGGGTAGGGCAGGCGGGTCGTGGGTTTGAGACGAGTTGTCTTTTTTATTTTGTATTGTTATTTTTATTATTTTTATTTTAATCTTGAAGACTTTCACAGTTACCTTCTCCCACCTGGAGGAGGAAGGCCCTGGTGCTGCCTCCCCTCGTGGGGGATAGGGAGTGAGACGCCAGTCAGACCCAGGCCAGGGGCCCAAGAGCCACACACAGACAGCACCAAAGATTCTGGCCCAGTATGAGCCTGGACTCTGCCATATGAAACGGGAGGGCTAGGGCTGCCTTGGGGGATTGGGGAGAGCCAGCTTCCAGAACTCTCCTCCCCAAGCCATCTGGACTTCTGTGACCTCTGAGATCCAAGCCAGCCCCTTGGCCTCACCTTACGGATGCTCCCAGGGCCTAGCAGCCCTGGTCACTGCCTTCCTGCCAGAGCCCGGCCCTCCTCCCTGTGGGGGATCTCTGTATCCCCTTGTCCCCCCACCCCTGGTCAGGGACAGAATAAATGTTTGCTTGGATTTAAAAAAAATATTTACTAAGTCATTGAATATCACTGTGATCATTTTATCTTACGTTTATATACACATTTTACCTTTACAAAGCATTTTCACATTTCTTACCCTATTTGTTCATTACATGTACCTGACAGGTAGATATTATTGCCATTTTTATGAACCAGGTCACTGACATTCAAATACATTAAATAGGGTTAGCTGGTTAGCTCACTTGGGAGAGTGTGGTACTGGTAACACCAAGGCCACGGGTTTGGATCCCATACCCACCAGCCGCCAAAAAAAACCAACAAGATACACTTAGGTTGAATAATTTTTTCCAAGATTCCATTGCTTGTAAGTGACAGAACCAGAATACTAACATGTCTTTTGACTTCAACTATAGTAGTGGTAGCACTATGCAGCGGCTACTTATATCTAAGAGATCAGGCCCTTCCTTATCGCTTTCCACAGATGTCACTTTACCATAGGTCATCATTATTTTATCCTTATGATACACCAAGCATGCCTGCCATAAATGTATTCAACATTCTAGTTTCGAAAATGGTTTCAACTTATTCAAACAACACTAAACTAAATTGTTGTTATTTTAGTCCCACATATATACTTTTTCCCATGCTTTTCCTTCTCCTGAAATATCCCTTGCAAATCTATACCTGACAATTCAAATCTAATAATACATTCAAGTCCCAGGCATTATCTTATGAAATTCCAAGTTGTAAAATAAAAAACTACAATCCAAACTGTTTCTCACTACATCTCATTAGGACTTTTACACATCTAGATATACCATAGAACCATACATTTAGCCATAGATAATCTGTAATAATTCTTTAGTTTTTAGACAAATTTCACTTCAGAACCCAAACTAATTTCCTGGGACTTCTAAGCCTTAGTTTTTTGCCCTATATATACTATACTGATCGAATGAATCCTGCAAATTAGCAGAATTGTTCTATGTATATATTTAGCCCATAGGTTGAAAA